TACCCCTTCCCGAAAATCAGGATGGGGAGGAAACACCTTGCAAGGAAACCAGACTCAAACCCTGCTGGACCTTGTGGCAATGATGGCTTGCGGTAGGTAGCTGGGGCTGTGAAATGGGAGGGTTGTCAAAGTCCCGTGAAGGAGGAGGAGAAGAGAGAGAGAGAGAGAGAGAGAGAGATGGTGCCCGGTCTATAATAAGAGGGCATTGCAGCACACAGCCAAGTTCAGGGGGGTAATTTAAGCTTGGAAGAAAGGTCAGGGAGTGATTGGGAGGGAGACCTTTCCATGCACCTGCTCAAGCCGGTGTCTCCAAGCTTCCGTGCGCGCGCGCGCGCCTGTCTCTCTCTCTCCCCCTCTCCGTGTGTATGTGTCTGGTTACGTGCGTAAAAGACTGCAAAACTGCACGACCCTGCAGAGCGATACAGGCGCGCACGCACGGGCAGGAAGCGGCTGCTCGAAGCAGAACTGCAGCCCCTGCTCCCTTCCTTTTCAAATAAAAAATTTTAAAAAAATCGTCTCTGGGGCGCGATCGGAAAGCCTTGAAGTGTCTATGGGGTGGGGGGGGTAGAACGATATCCCTGCACTTCTTAACATCTCACTTCCTCCCTCCTTCTTTTAGCCACCACCGGGTGTGTTGTTTGGAAAGCGTGGTGTTTAAATAAAATTTAAAAAAAAAACCCACTACCACCACCTCTAGCCCCGATCTGCCAGAACCTGAAGGATCGGCGACATGTCACGACGGCGACAACGCGATCGTCGAAAGCCAGATGGCGATGATGAAAGAGAAGGAGAAAAAGGCGCGGGGTTAAAAAAAATAAAATTAAAACACGCTCTTCTTACCTCTCACATTTCCTTCCAGAGGCAACCATCAGATTGTAGACAGATCGACCAAGGCATTGTGGGGGATTCGCGAGAGAGGATGACCAAGAAATTGGGAGGGGAAAAAACACCCAAAAAAAAAAAAAGAAAAGGGGGGAAAGGAAAAAAAAAGATGGGGGCTTGTCACACGCCTCCGTCACAGTGGCATTCTCGTCGCCCCAATCCTCATGCAACTGCAGTGCAAAGGGGGGGAAGCAGAGGAGAGCGAGCGAGCGAGCGCGCGCGAGAAAGGGAGAGAGACAGTTGCCGACGGCTGTGCGCTGCACACTCTTATCTGTAATGTCTGGTTTCCGCTGCTGCCTGCAACTGCCCCTCCTCCACGCTGCAAAAAACCCCGACCAGGAAGCGGCTGGGCGTACTTTGTGGAGCCTGCAAGAATGCACACGGAGGAAGGAGGGCTTGCATTTTAAAAAAAAATAAATGTGTGCGTGTTTTAATTTGTAGGGGGGGGGGGAATTCCACCCTTCCGCGCGGGGTTGCCTTTTTTTTAAGTAGGAGGGAAAAAGGGAAGCCAAACTTTTTTCTCCTTTTTGCAAGCTGCTAGGAACTAACAAATCCGGCCGGTACAGTGGGGGGTGCAAAAGCGGGCAAAGCGGCGGGAAAGCCGCCCTCGGGACCCCCTAGGAAAAAGCCTCGCCTTGGTATCTTCCGGATTTCATGGGTGAAACGGAGAGAGGCGAGAAAAACAGCCTCGGAGTTGCGCCGCCAGTGCGGCACATGCGGAGGGGTCGCGCCTGGGCCGGCGTGGGATTTGCGTGGCGCGCGCTGGGAACGGGGAGCCCGCAAGGTTAAGGTGAAGAGCCCGCAGACTTTGCAGCACTTCGCTGCGAGGTTACTTAAAATTCTCGGCGCGCTTAAGTCGCCAGACGCCCGCTGCTTCCTGGCCTTTAGTTCCAGACCTTCTCGGTCATTGGTGTGTCTTTATTTGTGGCACAAATGCTGCGTCTGAGCCAAGATGCTCCTTGAGCCAAATGGCAGATGACTCTACCATTCCTGGCTGCCGCTGGCAGGGTGTGGCTGCATGACTCAGTTCTTCATATGCGCACGTCCCTGCACCTGGAAAGTTAGCAGCAAATCATTTATTCGCTAGTTTTCTAGGTACAGGGTGGTTATTGCTGCTGTTTTAATGGGAGATTCGTTTCGTGTGTGCTGGTAATCCTGGGTATGTTCATATGCTTTGTAAAAATATTACTTTGAGGGCTTTTCCGGCCAACTTGTTTATTCAGCATTTATCCTAATTTGCTTCCACAAGGCCTACACAGTGGCTAGACTATTAGCATTTATCCTAATTTGTTTACAAAGTGGTTATTCGACAATGAGCATGCATTCATCCTGATTTGCTTGTGGGGTGTTTACACATCTTCCCATTCATCCCCTACTTCCCAATGCATCTTGCATCTCGCTCTGGAGGGTAGGACTTGAAATCAATGACAAAACAATGGACCTGAATCAATGGATTTAAGTTACAAGAACGGAGATTCCAATTTAACATCAGGAAAAACTTTCTGACAGAGCTGTTCATCAGTGGAACAGACTCCCACAAGAGGTGGTAGACACTTCTTCCTTGAAGGTTTTTAAGCAGGGGTTGGATGGCCATCTGTCATGGATGCTTTAGCTGAGATCCCTGCATTGCAGGGGGTTGGACTAGATGACCCTGAGGTCTCTTCCAACTCTGATTCTATGACCAGCCTGGATAGCTCAGTTTGAGCACGGTGCTGATAATGCCACGGTTGCAAGTTCAATCCCTGTATGGGACCGCTGCATATTCCTGCATTGTAGGGGGGTTGGACTAGATGATCCACAGGGTCCCAACTCTACAATTCTATATTTCACTGACACTTTCCAGACAGACAGCAAAAAGGTTTTGTTTTGTTTTGAGTGGCTTTATCACATTAGGGTGACTGAGCCCTTTATAATCCACTTTGATCGTGCAAACCTAACGTAGGCACTTGAATCTCTTCCGCAAAATACCGACAAGCTAGGTACACAGGATCAGCTTAAAAAGCAGCAAGGTCATTCTTTTTCTCAGTTTGGATCGAAGCTGGGTTTTTGGGGGGAAAGGCATCAACATGCAGTATTGCATAAGATATGATGGAAGAGCTGTGGCTTGTGGCTAACGAGTGTAGACCACTTTCCAAACTAGAAGTGATAGGGCACTGGATGCAGAGTTAACAGTATTGTGTATACAGTCACAGCCTTCAGGCCCCCTGGGAGTGAGGCAGTGGCTCTAGCTGAGACTCTTGCATGTTATTTGTGTAGCGTGGGTGGGATTGTGAAGGTCCCAGGGGGACAAAGCGAGCAGGGGTTGGGGGTTTCAGAAGTTGGATGTGCATCCTAGCCGGTGTAAGGTTTGCATTTCCATTTGCATTGCAGATGCAGAAAATTCAAATACCGATCTTCAGTCGGTTGGTGCATCATTTGTGAAAATGGCATCGGATGCCCTGATTTAGCACATTCTGCTCAAGCCGCACAGTACTATTTATACTTACTGATTCTGCACCAATCCCATAGGAACCTTTAGGGCACACACAGGAGAACTGAAAGAAAACTATACGAGGAGCAGCAGATTCCACGTAGTAGAAACATGCCAAAAAAAAAAATCAAATCTATGCGATATTAAGCTCGCCCCCTTCCTGTTTCCCGATAGAGCATTGGATCTAATATTATACCCAGAGTAGACCAATTGAAATGCATGGCCATGATTAACATGTGCATTAATTTAAATGGGTCTTCTCTGTTTCGGGAGCATGCCCATTTGATAGGGAAAAGCTGCCTCTTTCGCTGCATACAATTTTGTCTGGCTTACCTAGTTAACTTCCATAGCAACGAAAACTCCTACAATTAATTCCTACTGGTGCTTCTTGGTGACAGAACACTCACCTGGAGCTGCGGGTTCAGATGCAGAAGTGATCCGCCAATCTACTACCCAGCCAAGTTCAAGATGTTGGTACTAACACAGTTTGGGTGCTATACAGTTTAGCACCGGGTTACTTGAGAGTCCGCCTTATCCTTTATATACCCAGTAGGTTGCTGTGGTCTGCAAGAGAACTTCTGCAAGTCCCAAAGATCTCAGAAGCCTGCTCCACAATAACTCGGAGCAGAGCTTTCATTCTGGCTGTTCCTATTGCTACATGTATTACGTATTAAATTCATATACCGTCCTTCACTCAAAGATCGCAGGGTGGTTTAAAATACAAAATGAAAACACAAAATACATAACATAGCTAACAACTCCCCCAACACATCTACAAGGCCATAGATCATTTAATCAACCCAAGATGTGCTTGAAGGGGAATGTTTTTGCCCAGCAAGCCTCCCTGTGGAGAAAGCACGTTCACAATGGGGAGCCACCCCAGAAAAGGCCCATTCTGTTTCAGAGCATTTGTGTTGAGCAGTGTCAAACACCTTCTGTGTGCTTTCTAGACATAACTGAAGGTGTTTTTGTCCCTGCCATGAATGTCTATTTTGTATTGTTCTTGTTTTCTTCAAAATCGATCTTTTTTTAAAAAAAAGCGTTTTGGTCTTTTTGCTGTTTTTGCTGTATATTGCCTTGAGTTGATTGTGTAGGAGGTGATTAATAAATTGATAATAATAATAATAATAATTTATTATTTATACCCCGCCTATCTGGCTGGGTTTCCCCAGCCACTCTGGGTCGCTTCCAACTGAATATTAAAAACAATACAGCGTCAGACATTAAAAACTTCCCTAAACAGTTGTCTTTTAAAAGTAAAATAGTTGTTTATTGCCTTGACATCTGCTGGAGGGTGTTCCACAAGGCAGGCTCCACTACCAAGAAGCCTTGTCCCCTGTAACCTCTCTTCTCTCAGTGAGGGAACTGCCAGAAGGCCCTCAGTGATGGATCTCAGTGTCCTGGATGATGGGGCTGGATGATGGGGGTGGAGACGCTCCTTCAGGCATACTGGGCCGAGGCCGTTTAGGGCTTTACAGGTCAGCACCAACACTTTGAATTGTGCTTGGAAACGTACTGGGTGATGGTGATGATATCTGAGGAACATAGGAAACTGCCTTAGACCAGCCAGCCATCTACCTCAGAAGTGTCTACACAAACTGGCAGTGGCTTTCAGTGGGGCCAGGCAGGGGTCTTTCCCAGCCTTACGTGGAGATGCCAGAATTGAACCTGAGACCTTCTGCATGTCAAGCAGGTGCTCTGCCGCTGAGCTGCACACCTTCCCAAATAGCTGTGCTAACCTTCACTTTGTGTTACAGCAGACTATAGGAATCTGCCTTACATGGAGCCAGGCTATGGGTTCATATAGTTCAGTCTACCCAGCAGATCTCCAGGGTTTCAGAAAAGGGTCTCTCCTCTAGTCCTATTAATGCTTGGCATTAAACCTGGAACCTTTTACATGCAGAACATATGCTTTGGCACTGCATACATGAACGTGGGTTCGAGTCCCATTTTGGACAAAAAGATTCCTGCATTGCCGGGGGTTGGGCTAGATGAGCCTCCTGGTCCCTTCCAACTCTACAATTTTATGATTCTATGAAATTAACATTCCAGGCATCATACAAATAATGGGAGACTGGGGTGGTAGGATTCTGGAAGACACCACTTCAAATTGCAAGGGCTTCTCACTTGGAAGTGCATCCAGGGCAAAAAAAAGAAGCTTCTTCCATGTAGCAAGCTAGCACATCACAGAAAAAGCTTAAGTGTTGGCCTAAGATAAAGATTCAGTGTAGTGGGAGGGAGCATGCAGAAAATAAGACCGCCTATCTACAGCCTCAAGTGGTACAGTCCAGAGCTTCCCCAAGCCATTCTGCATAATGTGTACATAGAACTGACCCAAGTCTGGTTATGGAAGCCATGATTGTACAGTCATTAACTGGGATTGGTTTCTGTGCAGCTGCAAGCTGACTACAGAGAGGAAACTGAGCATGGACAGCATAAAGTAAGCTTCTGGGACCTCTACAATGACAAATTAAATACCAGTGCCCTGAATTTAGAAAAGGCCATCCTGAATGCTCGAATCTGACTAGTCCGTGTTTAAACAGAGTGCCTTTTCTGCTGAAGCCTACATGTAAAATCTATGTGGCCACTGTGAAAAGGAGTGCACTTGTCAATAATACCAGTTGGGATTTATAGTGTGCTCATAATCAACCTGGTGCTCTGAGCAGAATGGCACAGATCTTATCTTTCCATATACCTGAAGGAGCATCTCCACCCCCATCGTTCTGCCCGGACACTGAGGTCCAGCACCAAGGGCCTTCTGGCGGTTCCCTCACTGCGAGAAGCCAAGTTACAGGGAACCAGGCAGAGGGCCTTCTCGGTAGTGGCACCAGCCCTGTGGAACGCCCTCCCACCAGATATCAAAGAGAAGAACAACTACCAGACTTTTAGAAGACATCTGAAGGCAGCCCTGTTTAGGGAAGCTTTTAATGTTTAACAGACCACTGTATTTTAATACTTTGTTGGAAGCCGCCCAGGGTGGCTGGGGAGACCCAGCCAGATGGGCGGGGTAGAAATAATAAATTATTATTATTATATAAGCGTAGTGAGTTACTGCCTACCACAGTGATTTTAGAATAATCCCAGAGGGTCCAGCTCATCCTTTTCTCCTTTGCACAACCGATACAGGCACCCAACAAAGCCATAATCAGAGAAGACCCATGGAAATAAATTTACTTTGTTTATTTCAGCGGGCCTTCTCTGATTATGACTAAAGGTGGGTTTCATCCATACTGCACATGTGCGTGGATGTGTACACTTCTGGAGATAATATTATGGAGTCATCAAGTCATAGAAATGTAAGAGCTGAAAGGGATCCAAGGGTCATCTAGTCCAACCCCATGCAATGCACAAATCACAGCTAAAGCATCCATGACAGATGGCCATCTAACGGGACATACCTAGCTCTCACCTCAGCAGTGACCTTGAGTGTACAGCCCATTCTATTACCTGCCAAATATTTTGGACTACAACTCCCATCAGCCACATAGCCAATGACCATTGATTATGGCAGCTATGGTGCAGCAGCATCTTGAGGACTCCAGTTTTCCCTTTTCTGATGTGGGAGAAGGCAGTCCTTGCTAGCATACTGTAAGGCCAGTAGGGGAGTGGCAAATTCAGAAGTGCAGGGTCCCTTCATTAGGTCACAGCCCTTCTGAGCTGATGCAAAAAAATCTTATAGCTATACAATATTAATAATTAGGGACGCATTGCAACAAGCACTGCAGAGCTCCACGAGTTGCCTGCCTTTCAGCTAAATCTCCTATTTTCTGTGCACATACACGGGGAAGTGATTTGCAGAACCCAGTATCTTCTTTTGTTGTGTTTTCTGTGAAGTCCCATTGTGCATGACAAACCTTGCACACTGTTCTCTTGAAACTGAAGCAGCTTGTGTTTTCAGTGTTCTTAAATGTAAGCTTTGGAGAGCAGAGTGGTCAAAAAGCTCCCCTTTCATGCTGATTGGGCAGCTCTGAGACTCTCGAGACACAGATTCTGCAGGGACTCTGTGAAGAAATAATAAAGGGTGTTTGACCCTGCTAGCCCTCTCCCCCCATGACCTTGGATCACTACCCCACTATCTTAAAACATACCCCATCTCACAGATTTTATCAGTGACAAAGCACGTTCTGCTTTTATTTTATTTTCCTTATGTTTTCAAAAGAGACCATTCCTTTAAAGCTCCAGTTTAAGGCCATGCATGTCTTTCTGACTGCACAACTATTCTCTTCTTTTGTTCTGAACGTCAAAAATCACTCTGCATAATTCAACATGGACTTTTCTTTCCACCTAGTCAAGCAGCCTCTTACATTGGCTGGAAAGATCTCTTATAGTGACCTCCATCTCGAGAGAAAGAGAGAGCACAGGTGAGTGTTTGTTTTCCCATTAAACACTGTTCTCATCCTCGCACAGAAGCACTTTGTCTCTCCCGATTTAGTCCCCCTAGATCTTTACTAAATATGCCAATAGCTGCCTTGAGGTCATCTTGGGGCAGAGAGGAATTCTTCAGAGAATGTATTATAAAGAACTAGAGGGGAGGCAGTAGCCCCACTATATCCTGAAGGTGACCTTGTACTCAAAACTGCAGAATGACCCACCCCACCAGCACCAGACATTGTACAGAAAGCTGGAAAGGAAAGCTGCCATGACACCGACCTACAAATGAGTCATAAGGAGTCAAGCCACAAAGAAAATAACTGTCTACGCAGATGAATATAATATTTCAGGAGCTTCTGCAGCCGTCAAAAGCTTGCCATTCTAAACCACAGAAGCGAGACTTCCTTGCACCCTCCCCTCAACGTCACAGGCACAGTGAAGTTTTGTCTCGCTCTCAGTCAACATGGCAACATAGGCATCAACACCAAAGCATAGCACTGACGAGCTTTTGTTTAGTTCTGAAATAGCACCACCCCCAATCCAAACGGAGCAGCACGTTTTTAAATGTTAAGATCCCACCAACCAGTTGTTGGGCATCAAACAGGGACGACTTCAACATTTTGAAAGGTCTCCATGCATGTTTTGTGAATCGGGTGTGGGACCTATGCTGGCCTCTGGCACCCCTAGCCCCCAGCCAGCATCAAGGATGATTGGAGTTGTAGTCTAGCAATATCTGGAAGGACACAGGTTCCTCATGCATGCCTTAGACTGAACATTGGTCTGATCCAGCAAGACTTTTTCGCTATTATGCAATCCAGTTGTTGGTCTGGAGTGAGGAACCCCATACATAGTGCCCATTTACTCATGGGATTGCTCTTTCAGCTAAGGAGGCACACATCTTCTAGATGTGTTTGCCCCCAAATGGATTGGGGCATCTGTTTTACAAGGGGAGGGGAGCGGGTGTCGCTGTGGTCTAAACCACTGAACCTCTTGGGCATGCTGATCGGAAGGTCAGCGGTTCGAATCCGCACGACGGGGTGTGCTCCCATTGCTCTGTCCCAGCTCCTGCTAACCTTGCAGTTCAAAAGCACACCAGTGCAAGTAGATAAATAGGTGCCGCTGTGGCGGGAAGGTAAACGGTGTTTCCGTGTGCTCTGGTTTCTGTCGCAGTGTTCCTTTATGCCAGTAGTGGTTTAGTCATGCTGGCCACATGACCTGGAAAGCTGTCTGTGGAAAAAACAGTGGCTCCCTTGGCCTGAAAGCGAGATGAGCACCACAACCCCGTAGTCGTCTTTGACTGGACTTAACAGTCCAGGGGGTCTTTACCTTTACCGTTTACCTGTTACAAGTGGCTTGTGCAAACTACTCACAGGACAGTCAGAACAAAACAAAGCATGCAGTCTAAGCTTTAGATCACTTTAGGTGTATCCAGCATCAGTCATACTCAGAGCAACCCGCTGAAACTAAAAAACACAACTAACTTCAGTCCGTTCATTTCAGCGGGTCTACTTTGAATATAACCTATTGAATATTAACTATATATCAGAATTGCAAGACCCAAAACAAAGTTTTATACTGCATACATTTGAAGTTTGTCAACATTTCAAATTCTGAATCTGAAAACCACAGTATTTTGTTTTGAAATTTCACTTTGATTACTACTTCTTTTAAAATGTTAAAAAGCAAACAAACCCTATGTTACTATGATATTGCAAAGCACTGGGCCTTTTCTGATACAGCTACCAATGTTACATTTGGATACAAATAGAAAATGCCACAAAATATATTCTCACCCCATGAACACTGTTTGGTGCTTGTTATTTCTGGTGAATATCCTATCTGCTTACTTACCAGGCAAACTGGGTTCAGTACTCTTGCAGGAGCTGCTCAAAACTACTGAACTTTTTTTAACGTTCAAATGCTTCTATAATTATAGTAAAGGCACAATCCAGGCTTTGCCTTCATGATTGGGATTGCATCCAAAGAGAGGTACTTTCTGTATTTGAAGCAGCTGCTTATTTTACCAGGATATATAGTATCTAGAAATACACTACCTACTCTGAATTATACCATCAGAAGTGAGAAGCACACATCTCCAACTGGTAGCAAGTTTATTGACCAGTGCTAAACTTTGCACTGTTCAACAATGCAGACTGCTTCGGAAGAATCTGGGAAACAGCAGTAATAACTAAATAAACATACCAAAGGAAAACTTCAAGCAATAACTAGCAGGGCAAATTTATTGAGAAATTGATTTTATTTATCCAATTTTGGAATGAAAAAGCGAGACAATATTTATCCATATAACTGTTTCTCCTGAATATAATAATTTATCATTGTGAAAATCTCTC